AAATAAATAATTTTTTAAAATTTAGTCAAAATAAAAAATAAAATATTTTTTAAAAACCATATTTCTCCTGCTTTGGGCTTCAGAAAGGAATTACTTTTCCTTTCCTGGGTGGATTATTTGCTAAACAACCTAAGCAGATGGCTTAATAATATTGGCATCACTTGAAGTATTTTGTACTGCTGAAAAAGTGATCCTATAAAAGCATTTGTTCTCCTGCTTCCATTCATAAGTTGACCATTTCCTCTGGTCAAAGCCAATGGCTACTGACATTCCTCAGCCAACCAAAAAGTCCAGCTTGGTAGAAATCAATAATTTAAAGATAAAATGTGATACCCTTCCCTAGAAAAAGTTGTCCTTATGTTTTTTCTGCATTAGTCTTTCCTATGCAGAAGAATGTTCCTTCTATGACCTTTCTCAGACTTCAAGTAAGTGCTATAAAGTACCAAGCTCCAGTGACCATACTTCTGTGGGTATAGGGCATTTGTGTGACTTGCAAAACAATGAAAGAATCCACCAGTCATCTTGATACATTGAAACTTTCCCTTTGTGAATGTCCCTCTTCCTAGGATGCAAGGTCCTTCTATCATTGCAAGTTCTGCACAAACAGATTACAATGATGAGTAAGTAAGCAGGTCAGTGGATACCACCTAAAAACCACAAAAACAATTTACTCTTTCCCATTATATTAGCATACAGAAAAAAAATCTGTGGGGTTTGTTTATCAGTCTACATGTTGGCATATATATTTCTCATTGCCATATGGAGTGGTCTTCAAAAAAGGCAACCTTAATTTGTTTGAACAGATTTGTGTCATTGTCCCTCTCAGGAAAAAGAGCCAGAAAAAATATCACTTCTGTTCAAAAATATTCCCCTCCCTTAGCCAGGCTTATACTTAACTAAAATATTAATCTTTAAGAATTAAAACACTGCTCTCCAAGAAGGTAGTCAATAATGCAGCCAACACATGTCAGAGATTTGCCATCAGTTAGTATGTAATCAGGAAGTGGAATCCAAAGAAAGAAGCAACCGTTTAGGTGGGAAAAAACAAAAGAGGGCAAGGCCACAGGGTGGGCATGGACAGGGGACTCTCACAATGTCACAGTGAGACCAGATTTGGTAGGAATGGCATCTGAGCCGCAGATACCATGAAGGAACACAAGGAAAGAATGCCAAAAGCCATGATAGATGAAGATGCAAGGCCCTTAGTATTCCTCATGCCTTTGTCCTACAGTAACGCTGCTTTTAAGATAGCTGGTGTGTACGTGTGTGTGTGTGTGTGTGTGTGTGTGTGTGTGTGTGTGTGTGTGTGTGTATGTGTACATATAACAAATTGTAAAGGACAGAGACTACTATATCGAAACAGGATGATCATTAAATATTTAACTTTAATTTTTTCACATTGCTATGGAAAAAGAAATCACAAGACATCCTAATGAAATCCATCATACTTATGTACTTCAGATATCTTTGCTCTGCTGGTAACTTCAGTGCTGACATCACAAGTGTCCCACATCCTTCAAGCTGGTTACCAGATATGGAATGTGGAATCTAGGCAGTGCCAATACCCACACGTACTGGAGAACACTAGTCTGCGAGCCACTATATTAAAAATGGTCGTTCCCCTTCCACCATTCAAAGCTCATATTTGCATATCCAACTAATCCAACCTAATTCACATTCACAACTAGAGAAACACCAATTTTTAACTTTGTAATCACTCTGAAAAAAAGAGTAAAATGAAGATTGAAAGAACCTTTTGAAGAATATGTCATATATCAGATAAATAAGATACTAAAGAAAAATATATGTTTTAGATTTTTATTGAATCAAATATTCAATTCTACTCATGATTAAAGAATTTTAAATTAAAACCAGAAGAAATATAATGTTCTAATATTTTCAAGATAAAGTTTGAAAAGCGTGCCAATTAGATGGTTCACTAGGTAAAAGCACTTGCCATGCAAGCCTGACGACCTAAGTTCAATTCCCAGATCTCAGGGTGAAAGAAGAGAACTGACTTCCAAGCAGTGTCTTCTGTTCTCCATTCACATGTGTGCACCCACAAGGACTTACATGCCACCTCATATGCACACATAGAGAATAATAAATAAAAATAAAATAGTGCTTGCTTTAGCAGCATATGTACTAAAATTGGAGCAATTCAGAGAATATTAGCATGGCCCCTATGCAAGGATGACATTAAAATTCATGAAGTATTCAAATTTTTTAAAATAAAATGTATTCACATATGAGGGAAAAAATAGATTAAATTATTAAATTCCAAAAAAAAAAAAAAAACGCAATGAGATAAAAATGTTCATGCACTGTAGAGGAGCAAACAGATACCATAATCTGGAAAAATGCTGGCAGTTAGTGCCAACACCATCAAAACTATTCTCTCCTTTCACAGGTTCATCTTGATCTAGAAATCTCCCCCAAGGGAAAAATATGATCTCCAATTTAAGAAGAGGAATATTGGCAATGGGAGGGTGAAAAGTTTAAATTATTAAAAAGTAGAAAATATTTCATATCCAACAAGAGAAGAATAATTAATAAGCTGATATCCATCTGTGCACTAGATTGTTACCTGCTTTGTGATGATTTATATTGGAAAATATTCATGCTACATGGATGTAAAATACATATAAATACATATTCGCAAACTTCATGTGATAAAATACTGAAAGAAAAGATCTAATAGTCTGTCTCTCTGGTGGAGGGGAGTGATTAGAGATGGGTAAATTAAATTTTCATTTTCTTTTAGTGTTGCCTGTATTTCCAGATATTCTACAGAAAGGCACATTCTTTTTAGAACAATTAGAAAATAAACCAAACACCATCACAAATAAATGAAGGCCATCTTTCAAGAAATTAAACGTTTTTTCTCTTTATAGTTTAAAAGGATTAAATATTTCTTAATAAAGAATTTAATTTCAATTTGGAATTGAAACTTAATATGATCTTGATTTCTGGGAGTATAATTTCTAATTTCTAACATGTGATAGAGAGAACTGAAACGTGGCAAAAATACTGTCTGAAGTTCCCAGCTGTCAGACTTCAGTCATCCAGATTCTTCCCAGGTTCCTCAGGGTGTGGCTCTTCCCACATAGCAGGAATGTAGTCAGCCACCCTGATGGACCTGTTTACTCCTCGTCTATTCCTGTAGTATAAATTTGGAAGAGAATTGAGAGTTTCTGAGGAAGGGAAAAAATGATGAGACGTGTTCATTGGTAAGATGCTATTTTCCTCTTAGAACAAAACCACCATAAAATATGAATCTATCAGATGTCACATTTTTTAAAAGAATTTCTTTAAGGAAAAAGTTTTTGAAAACAGTAATATTAATCTCCCCATCCTCAGAAACAAATTCACAAAAACTAGAAGGAGCCAGGGTTGTCACACAAAGGCCAAGATGCAAAGTGAACCAAGGGTATGGCTTTGTACAGGACACATGGTGGCACTGTGAACCATGTAGTTGCTACTTTCCTCTTTGCAAGCTTTCTACGTTGGTCATTTTGTGACCATAGGATCTATGTCCTATACCCTGTTTCTATATCTTTGACAGCACCCCACCAAGTAAACCTACATACCCATCCCTCATGTGCTCTCTCCTCACAACTGATCAGTCAACAGCTCATTTCCTCCAGCCTTCCGAGTCCCTACTGCAGTCTGTGCTGCCTGCCCAGCCAATTACAAGAAAACCTTTGTGTTTTGCCGCATCTTCACTTACATCCAAGTCTTCACTGAGCCCTTTCCAGACCGTATCTGGCCTCCTGTCATTATTTTGATGCAAATTACTTCACATATCTGAACACAACACAAGAACTACAGACTAAATGCCATCCAATTAGCTTCGTTTCATTTTGCTAAACTTCTTTTAAGATCTGCCTGTGTTATATATGTCAGACTTCTGACTCTCACTGAGGCAAAGTTCCAATAAACATGCAGGCTGTGTTACCAACCTGGGAGCAAGATGAATAAACTTGCTGTCAACTTTAAGTTTTGACATCAATTCTGCCCAGAAGTCTGCTCATACAGAAGCTGGGAAACTTGTGTACTTTACTTAATAATTTTGCCTTTCATAGAAATCTGAGATGATTGCCTCCATGTATACTATTACAACTGTGAGGGGGAAAAATGTTTTCATTTTTCTCATTTTCTTTACTCCTGAATTGAACCATCACAGTTCATTGATCAGCATTTCTCTAACCACTTCTGTACAATTGTAACTATATATTGATATGCTAATGGAACCTAAACCATAGTGTAAACTCATTGGAACAAGAAGCTTTCTTCATTGTGTGGATTTTACCTCAATAATAAGCCTCTGTATACTAAATTGATTAGAGTTCTTGGAAAAGAATAGCTGCCATTGCAAATCCAGAATAATAGATGGTTGACATGTGACACTAATAGTAGCCAATAAAACAGCTAGGGGAAAATTTTCCCAAATGCTTTGTAAATTGATTATCTATAATACCCTATGATAAACTGACCCATAATGTCATCTGATGCCTATTTATTTAGGCAGAAATTCAGTCTGGGAATTTGAAAAACCAAATCCCAGCACTGCAAAGGTGATGGGAATACATTTCACATAATTCCAGAATGCCATGCTTTAGTAAGCTTTGTTTTTGCTTATATGCCTAAAAATCAGACTTTACTCCTATTAGTTTGGAGAAGACATAAACCTATTATGAGTAGTTGCTTGATGGGTTTTCTAATTCCATCTCAAACTGCAGTTATCTGACCCTACCAGAGAGAAGCTGTGGAAGGATAGAAAGAAGAGGGAGGGAGGGAGGGAGGGAAATAAATAGGGAGGGAGGGAGGAAGGAAGGAAGGAAACGAAGGGCAAACTTGTGAGTGGAGGATGATGGTCTGATTAAAAACTGACCACTGATTTCACAAGTAAACAAGTCAGCAGTGAATCCCTGTCATCCCCAGTTAACTGTGGCCGCTGGAATGTCCCTGTTTCATTAGTAGGAATAATATTAGCCTAGGCTACCAGAATCAAAATAAGTTACCCTTTGTGATTAACTTGTAATTCCATCATCACTCAAACCAGTACATTTTTTCTTTCCCTCCACACTTCTTCAACCCAAAGACAATCCTCTTCATTATCTCCATTCTCCATTCTGCAGTTTTCCCTCCTTTGGTGTCTGGACTTTAAGCCTTCTCCTCCATCCTGGCAACATTCTGCTGAACATTCTGATTCCAGGGCTTCTTCTCAACTCATAATGCTTCAGTAAGTAGTGCCAAGTTCAGCAATTTCCAGTGGCTTCTCCACTGTGAACCACACCAGCTGGCACATGAGGCCTGGAGGCGAGCTATATCACCCTGCTCTTCACACACCCTCTGCTCCATAACTCCCACAGAAACTGTTACCTCTCTTCTCTGTGGTCTTACTTTATTTTACTCAGATGGAATCCATCGCCTATTGACTATATTGAACTGCCAGACGACAGCTTGCATACACCCATCCCTCCTTCACACATTAAGACCACTGAATAAGCTAGACAGAGAAGAGATGCATAGGCAGGATGGAAGGCTGGATACACTTGAGCAAGATGACCTTTGAAGGACCTATGAGTAAGATGGTGAATTAAAAGCCCCATTGGCGTGATTCAGTGAAAGAAAAAAACTCAGAGTGATATACACTTATTTCTATTCCTGCAAGAAACAGTAGCTCTAGATGAATTTCTTAAGCCAGGTGAGATCTTCAAGAGGAAGCAAACAGAAGGAACCAAAAGGGCTAGACACACAACTAACTCTGCAGTACCAGTGTGTGTGTGTGTGTGTGTGTGTGTGTGTGTGTAAGCCCTTCCCTGGAGGTTTGCACTGTCCTAGGCCAGAGCTCTGTGCTATAGCTTGACACCAGTTTGTGGTGGTGGCCAGAGCTCTGTGCTATAGCTTGACACCAGTTTGTGGTGGTACTTGGCACTCTCACCGAGGCTACTCAGTCAGCTGCAAAGAGAAGCAGTGCAGACTCAGGACCAAAGGATGTGTATACTGTGGGCAGAGAGGCCAAGGCTCATTGCAGGCTTTGGAGCTTGGTACTAAAGTATAAAACAGTCAGAGACTGAGGCAGAGTCTCCTGCACAGCTCCCAATGAAGTAAGCAGGAGCTAGGAATGGCCAGCAAGGTTTTCAACCTTCTCTTCTGAAAACAAACACTGGTGTCACACAACCAATGAGTGGAAATCAATGGTGGCTACGGACATGAAACTGAATGGTGACCTCCAGGGTACCACAGAACCTTCTGCCACTGCCTTAGAGAGCACCAACCTGGGAACTGAGAACCACACTGCTCATCTCAGCACAGTTATGCCAAAAACTCAACCCAAAAGGTGATTTGTTTAAACTCAGTGGGACAATATATACCCAGATCTGCAACTCCCCATCAGTGCAGATTGCCACAGGAAACATCACAAGAAGGGAAGAAATTCAAACCCCATTCCACCAAGGAAAAGATATTAAGATATCTTTTTAATCTATTGTACCTTTATTTCACTTTGAGTCTTTTTAATTAATGTTTATCTCCACTCTTGTATAAAGACCCTTTAATGGTCTTGCTCTCATTTTTTCATTTATTTAGATTGCGCAAATAGATTTCATGGTTTTCTGCATCTGTACCAAATTCCATTGTGTATGCTCCACTGTTCTTCCTATACACAACACTTACACACTGCTGGTGGGATGCAAACACGTCTCACCACTATGAAAATCAGTACGGAAGCTCTTCAATAAACTAAAAATAGACCTCTCATGTGATCTGCCTACATCACTTCTGGTATTTACTGGAAAGACTGTAAGTCAACATCATTCAGAGATAATTGCATATCAGTGTTTATTGCAACACTGTTCACAATAACTAAGTCATGGAACCAACCTAAATTTCTGTCAACAGAGGACTGGATAAAGAAATGTAGTTTATACACAAAATGGAATTTTTTGAGTCATAAAGAGTGAACTTATGTTGTTTTCAAAGGAGTAAATGCAACTGGAGATCACTGTATTAAGTGAAGTTAGTCAGTCTCAGAAAGGCAAATAGCATGTTACCTGTCATTTATACATACTAGATTTTACATAGCTATATAAATATATATATAAGATAGATAGATAAAATAATATATATGTATACATAACATGAAAGTAGGCATGAAACTGCCTAGGGGAACCAAAGGGAGCAGCAGAAGAAGGAATAAGGAGCCAGGAGAGAAAGCAGGGGA